TATTATTATATACTGCCATATTATGGCAGATGGTCGGAAACTACTAAACTTTTTCGAATTTAATCTTTGAAAGGCCCCAAAATACACTTCAACTGCCTTCCTATAGGAAATATTCTTGATATGACCTTGAATTTACCATCGATTGACACCATAGAGACAAAGTAACCCGAAAAACCCTGTTGTACTAAAAATCGTATAAATGATTTTTTTGCCAACTTTTCGGTTGTCTAGACCACTGTTCGGCATACAGTTCTTGTAAAAATATGCAACTTTTCGTAATAAAACATAGGAACATAAAAGCCTGACCATAACTGAGGTATTAAGCTACGTTTTCCCGGAGCGTGGCCTGATCCTGGCATTCGTGGAATGTCCAACCGAAAATCCGTATGAACGAGATGTCGTGAGTTTGCATCTGACGTCCTCCACGACTGCCCACGCTTGATGTGAAATCCGTTTGGGTTTCGGCCGTGGACATCCCAGTCGGGAGCGAGGCATCTGGTAATCACCACGTGGCGTAGACCCAACAACGCTTTTTCTTCTGATTTTTTAAGTCTTCACGTGACTCAACCTTTTCGCTAACATAGTACTAAAAACTGAACGTCTTTCAAGTAGAAGTTCCGTTTTCAATCGTTACCGTGTAAATAATCCACAACCATTGCTGGTTCACTTTTCACTCAACAGAGATCGGAGGCGCACCAATCCGTCTTCTTTTTGCGACGTAAAAGCGAAGCCTTTTGAAATAATCTGCGATGTCAAATGCGATCCTGCCTTCAGCGAATTACTAGGCGAAAAGATACGTCGCAGTATTCAACCCGTCGCGTAGGTGAACGAAGCTGTTTATTTACAAATTGGAAATTGACAAACGACAAACATTTTCACGATTTTTAAATATCGCTATTTAATCTTTGCACTCTAAACACATCATAGTCGTAACTCCGTAACTGATAGTCTTTCCGCTTCTTTTTCAAACGACTACTACTGCAAATATAAGCGCTTCAATTTCCTTCTCACAGTTCGTTGAATAATCAAAATACAACTTCAATGATATTATTCGGGGACATAACACTATGGCACATTATTATTCTATGAATGGCTGGCGCAGTATAGTTAAGGGTGTTTCACACTTTGGTGCTTCTGTTTTCTGCATCGGTTTGATGTGACAAAATACATCATCTTATACAAGGTGATACAAATCATAATGGCATTTTTTAGAGCAGTACGCTCATCCAAAAACAAATGAACATATATATTCAATAACCGTTGTACAGCTTGGGAGTCGTTTTCAAATATAGCGGCCACACCACTACGATTTGGATTACGTGAATTTGTTTCTTATATATACAGAGTGACAAAAAGGTAATGTTTATCCGATTTTAATAATTTTTGGCATATACTATCGTTTCAGTGCCTTTACTAGTAAAATGATTAAATTTTCAGCTTGATTCGTCAATAGACTGCAGAAGCTGGTTCAATAATGTGTTGAGGATCCACGATTTTCTATACACTCATTGACACGCCTGGGCGTCGCGTCGGCCTGATAAGGTGGTCGATATCCTATTGGGGTATCTCATTCCAGGCTACTGCAACTTATCATGTGCCAGACATGTTCAATTGGAGATAGGTCGGGCGATCTTGGTGGCCAAGGTAAACGGTTGCTGCGATGTTGATCCATGAAGCCTAACAATGCCCTGGCAATATGCGGTCTGTTATTGTCTTGCTGCTGGATGGTGTTTAGGTATGGAATAAGATGAGGCTCCACTACTTGCTGAAAGCGTAGGGCTGTCATATTGCCTCTGATAAAAATTAGTGGTGATCTGCTACTATAAGCAATAGTACCTCATACTATAACTGCAACAGCCATTTACAGAGTATGACACAGTCCCCCGCAACGCTTTCAAACTGATGGCGTATATAAGACCACACGTGACCTTTTTTGACAGGGGACAGCTTTTATAGCTACTGTCAGGCTGAAAAGCTCAACACTAGTGCCCTGTTGGCCTTTCCTCCAGAAGCGGCATATTCCCTAGAGCCCCCAAATCGTTTGCTAAAGATCTCACCGCGGTACTTTGACATGGTGGGTTGCGTTTTCATACCAGAGGTACTTATAAATCTTATTGTTGTCATCGTCGCATATACAACGTGAGGCTCTAAGCTATAAGGTTGCCTATATGAGCACCTATGTACGTATACAACCCAGCAAAAACACGTGACCTTAGCGTCTACTCTTGGTCTATTCACCAATTTTTGCATTCTTGTATGTTGTTTACCAGATTAAGTGCTACGAGGTTGTACCGTGTGCGCCTAGCTTAACAATTCAAACAAAGCTGCAGTGGCCACTTCCGGTAAAGCAGGAACTCACGTACAGCGCTCGCCAAGATAAACATTAGCCGACCAACTAAATAGCTGAGAGCTACAAGAGCTACGAGCTACCAGCGTATGCGACAGCCAGCTAATTGTTAAATTAAGTTTCTGCAAGGCTCTAACGTTGCATTGCTGGTAGATGTCTTAGCTATTTGTGAACCAAAGCTAGACAGGTGCTGATATGAGTTACTAACTTTGAAGCTTCAACTGGGGAAACTTTGATGTTCTAAGCACTTCTGATAATATTGCAAGGTAGCATAAAGAATACTTACAGGCAGCGGAATTATTAATTCCTAAAAAATGGCGTCAAGGGGACTGACTCTGTACTTTCCATGCAACACAACAGAGAAAAAAGCTACCTCAAACATGTACAACAAAAAATTAAAAGGATCAAGTTAATCAAACAGTACAATTATGTTTTGTATTTTCAGCATGTTTTTCCGTACAATTTTGAGGCTCTTCAGAATTTGTCTGCCAGGGAAAATATGCCATCCCTCGCTGTTCAAAAAGTTGTGAAGGCAGGTACGCTTTAACACAAATTTATCTCATGCATCGGCCAGAAATATGTCTAGTAGATCCGTAGAGTTACCACGACTACACTACTTTCCCGCCTGTGGCGTAGGAAGTAAAAGGTTTTCGGTAGACGTATGAATTCCAAAACAAGTTGATTGCCAAACGACAAACTATTTCAGGCAGGATCAGAAGCCTAAAAAGTATATGAGACTTCAGTTTTTTTGTGACGATTCTCAACGCCTGTAGCAGCACCCACAGCGAAAAACTGACATCGTCATCTCAGAATATTTGTGCCCGACTTTTTCAAAATCGTTTAGAGAGGCAGGCTCCAAATAATAAATTGGAAGAAATGCCATTTCGTGCCCGAACAGACGGTAACTTGCTTGGCAATCTGAGACATTTATGACATGTTTATATACCCAAATTTTAGAGAGAAAATCGTACAGGAAGCAATGTTACCCCTTAAAGAGATCGAAAATAGCTTTTGCGAAAAAAGTACGTGAATTTTTACTTTAGCGTCGTAACTAAGAAAAAAAATGTGGGAGGAAAGTTGATGAGAGATAAAAATGTGTATCGCTAGGAAAATCGCCAAACATTTATTTTCCTGCTTTTAAGATCCATGGTAGCATTTTAACCCTTAAAAAATAAATATGTACATGTATCTCTCTACGATGCGAAATAATTCTAATAAAGCCTTAAAAACAGGGTCTAAATGTTAAATCTCAACAAAACCATAAGCAATATTTGTCACACAGGTCGGTATCTAATCGCAAGGCGAATAAAAAAGACAGAGCTTCTGATTACAGATTATCGATTACAGAAGAAAGGGGTTGGCCTGCCAGCCTTAACGTCACAGAGATCCAAGTGTATCTATTATGACCCCATATATACGTTCTAAGGCATTGTGTCCAGCCTTGATCCTTCAATCAGACGCCATAGCCTTGAAACAGGGCTTTGCATGTAGCTTTCCGCTGTTGGATCTGTGGTTCCTACCATCTGGAACTGTAGCCTTGCCAGGCCTTCACAGTGACACAGGAGACTGGGATTTTCTTATGTTTTCTGCAGAAACGGCATGTGGCATGTGGTCTGCCAGCCCAAGAGTCACTTATGTCAATTTAGACTACAGTGTCCTGTCAGGAGAACCACCCAGCGCTTATGAGTCTGTGCTGGAATTTTTTGGACTTAGGGCCCAGATTTTGAGCTTCACCAAATACTTTATAACCGTTAGAATATCAAAATGGAAAGGTTAGTATCATTCCAAATCATCCAAATTCTCAAACTCGTATCATGCAATCTACCTCCTGCTGTGTGAATTTTGGGATGAAGATGAAAGTAGTACGCCTAAAAATGGGCAAATTCGCCCCGAATGTGATCAGTCACCCGTTCTTACAAGTGAATGACATTCGGTATATCGATGTAATTTGGGACAATACTTAGGAATACGGTTATTAAAAAATGCCAAAGCGCTTTTTGAGCAGAGAACCTTCGGGATTTTCAGTCAATCTAAGCGAGAAACTAAGACCGGAGTCGTTATATATGCATTCAGTTTATTCAAGAATCGAGTTTTGTTCAAAATTGGACGTTTTTGAAAAGCTGTTTCACTAGAACGCATTTAAACTGTAAAATTGTTTAGTAACAAAATCCGTTATATTTGAAGTATGAAAATGGGAATTTTCTGGCCTGCTGTCAGCGATGTATGCGAATACGATCGTCACAAATTATGTCGTATGACCATATAGTACATACAAACATACAAACAAAAGGACTTTACATCTTCCTTTTTACTTAGTCCTTCCTCTTCCGAATGTTCCATTGTATCATATAATATTTGTAGTGATACTAACTCTGAAAACTATTAATTTACTCTTCGCTGCCCTACATTTAGTGAAGCAGACGTCGCGATCTTCCATTGTTTGTTAGAAGAGGGATATTTGCCTGAGAGGGCTTAGCACTGCTGTTTACGCAATATAATAGAATTTCCTTTAGTAAACATCAGTTTTGGAATATGCTGCATTGCCTAATTAGCGCAGGAATTCTAAGAACAATGGCAAACATGTATGAGAATATTCAAAGTGAAAATGTGGAACATACATTTATAGAATATTTGCTTATAATTATTATTGTAGTACGGCAGCGGAAGCGTATTACGGATATTAGAAAGTGGAAATCTGTGCGGAATTAATAACATTTCCGAATTAGTAGGTGGTACTTTCAAAACACCCAGTGCGACAAAAATTGCTTGGAGTGATTGAATTATCCATAACATTATTTGAGCTTCATTTTTTTTTCAAGTGAGCATCATAACCTGCGACCTATCCACGCTGTTACATTGCGGTAAGGGATACCTATTATTAAAAATCGCCTATCGAAAAAAGTATAGAATAAGTAGTTAAAAGAATAGCGATTTTTTTCGCCAAACGAGATTATTTCATTCCGACTGTTCCGGGTTCAGATGAGGGAAGGCTGATCGACTGATCAGCGACACTTCCTTAACAGACAGTCGGAAGCCTTTTTCACATCCATGGGTGATCGGCGGTCTGGCTCTCTTCTTTAAATATGTTGGTTCAGTTCAATGTGAAACTTAACTAACCATATAAATTATGTTACATGTGTTTTTGAATATGTCAGTTTTCTCCCCCTTGACGGTGACGCGTTTTAGGCCTGCTAGACAAAAACAAATACCATCCGGAGCGATTTTGTTTTGTAGTTTGTTTAAAAAATAGTTTGCATCGGATTACCGCTAGGCAAACTCTTGATTGATGCTAAGGAGCATTCAACAACTGTGGTATAAGAAATCGAGTTGAAAAACGTCTTCCTTGAAGGCAAGGATTTCGCCTCCTCGAAGGCTGTATGCGATCAAAGCTAAAACAAACAAAATTGCTCCTGGAAAAAACGTGGACGATGGTCACTTTATCAGAAATCTAAAAGTCCCAAGGATTTTGAAAATATGCTTAACCAAACAGTTTTAAGTACACAAACAAAGGTTTGCAATGAATGACCTTCATAGAATGAATTACAAAACATTTCATGCTTCATAATTATTGCTTCAACGAATCTGTTCTCTTGATGACCATAATCGAATTGTTAGTCTGGCGATGATCTAATTCTTTTTATTGTGTAAATTTTCAAGAAGGACTCGCCTACGGATAATTTGAAAACGTTTTGTAAAACAAACTTGCAACACCGGAAGTCAACAAATCGAAACTGTGAGAACAGCTCCTTGGCATTTCGATCACTATAAAACCATCAAGTTAACACAACTGGTAATGAAGTATTAAGATTTCTCAGTAAGATAGCGACATAAAGAAATAATAACAGAACGAGCGCTTCAACGCCTTGGGATAACTGTATGACGCAGAATATTGCACCGAATTTCTTGCGAACAGTTTCGTAACGCTGTCAAGGTTGATTTCACAATGTTCCGGGTGAACAAGGTATTGGAGTACGAACCATACTCTAAGGCGTCTACTGAGTGGTTCAGAAAGATCTGCGAATATTTCTAGGGTAGAAATTACATCCAGTAACAAAGAAAGTTCTGATAAATATGTGTCCAAATATGCCCCCCTACCGCGATAAAGGGTGATGAAGTTTTGTTTACGAAATTGAAAAAATATATCTACGGAGCGGGTAAAGATACTGAGTTGGGATTTCAGACGTTCAGTGAGCACATCATAAGCAATAAACACACAGAGCCTGGCCCCGGCCTGGTCCAAGCTAAACCAGTGACGAAGGAACTGGGGTAGCTGGACCCCGATTGGGAAATATTTTTTACGCTACTGGCCATGTCGGAGAAAAGAAGTGCATTTTATAAAATAGCATTTAATTTAAGTAGTAATTATACCGAGAAAACCAGTGGCGTGCATAGACAAGGCTTACAGAATGGTATGCTTCTATGCTACTGATTGCGACATGTAAATTATTCAAGTAATGTTGTAATGAGAAACCATAGCTTTGCAATATCAAGCTTCACAGTGTTTTCAGAATAGGGCAGGCTGAGCCTTTTCGTAAGTATATTTTAGGATTGTACCTCAAATAGCCAAATCTAAATATTCCGAAACGAGTGATCTGAAATTTATGGAAAATTGAACGGTATTTATAAAAAAACACTTCTTCTCTATAAAAAAATTTCTTTAGGGGCCCACGTACCCTAGTCTCTACGTCAATGGCTTCGTTTGGGCCGGGAAACCTTGTATCTTTATTGCTGATGATATGTTTACTGAACGTTTGAAATCTCAACTCAGTATCTTTAGGTATATGCACCGAAATAATTTTTTAAAATTTCGTAAATAAAACTTCATCGCCGTGTATCTCGGTAGGGGGCATCTTTGGACCCATATTTATAAGAACTTTTTTTGTTATTTTTGGCCGTACCTTCTACCCTAGAAATATTGGCACGTCCTTCTAAAATACCCTGTATGTGTTGGGTATGTTGTATCATACAACATATGCCAACTTTCAAAAATCGTAAGCAGGACAAGAAAGGAAGTTGATTTGATCGTAAATGAGGTAGGGTTTAGCAATATGGGGAGCTCCATTATCTTGTTTTAAAACAGTGTTACAACTAGCTTAGATTAATCTTACTGAGTGTTCCTTTTTCTTTGTCACTGTGTATATGTATCAAAATTTCTCCCACTCTAATCTTCGAAAGAAAGATACTAAAAATCACAAGCTAGATCACATAATATTTCATTATTATTTAATTTTTCTATTAATCGAATTGAAATTTCAGGATAGCAAGTTGCGTAATTTCCGATGGTCCATTACAAATAATAGTTGCATAGTTGGACAATCTTCAGGTAACAATTTTGCACGCTTACGGTCACACTTTTAACGATAATATTACAAAACGTTTTTGCATTGAGAAACTGGGCTAAATCCAAATAGAAGACTTATGAGTTTTTGTTTTAGTGTTTTAAGAAGAGTATTTATACAGGCGGTCCTGAAAGTTGGGATTTTACAGAGCGTATAAGCCAGACAATAGTAAGCAAATTGTCCTAGTAACACATATACGAAAGCCTTAACATAATTAAGAAATTAAGTTACTAAAAACTGTAAATAAGTCATCGAATCTGGCTCCCCCCTTCCTATGTCAAAGAGTACTGTGGTACTGTGACTATGTGGGTTAGAATCCAAATCAGGCGCCGCGCGGTGTGTAGGTTAATCTATATAAAAACCGCATTTGAAGACCGAAATTCTTGCAGCAGTAACGTAGTTATTGATACTCCGTGAGTGTATGCGAGTATCGATATTTCCATCAGACTTACGTAGGTCAGTTTATATCCTGCAAAAGACGTCACAGTAGAAGACCTAGATAGCCCATATGTTACAAATTTAGGAAAAAGCAAACAAACCCGAGTTTTAGCAATGAACTACGACTACTTCAAGTAGTAATACAAACAAAACATGTGACAGGGCAGCACATGAAATGTCATACCAAATAATAGTATTTTCCTTCAATTACTTTTTTGCGTTTTCGGAGATTTTTTTACCGCAAATTAATTTTATTCTTCAAGTGAATTTACCCATGTAGGTTTGCGTCAGTTGGACTTTAAGGCCTTCTTACAGTGATGATCCGTTTTCGCCTACAGGCGAATTGCTAAATATCTGTGTTAAAGAAGAAGACGAGCTTGTTTGATTTGAGCTCTCCTTATTGCCTTATACAGTTGCTAACATTAGGGCTTCCTTATTTCGATAATCTCCTAGAGACACGCAAGGATCTAGCATACGGAATAATCCATAAACTAGAGAGACGCGTGCGCAGATTATTCTTCGGTTTCTTGTAGAGAAACTTTTGAACGTTATTTATAGCGTTTTCTTTTGCTGAAACTAGCATTGCACGGAAGCACCTTGTGGACGGAATATTACTCAACAACAAATACATTTTGGGAAAATGTATTTATAGCATGTTATGCATGACATTTGAGGGCACATTTCTAAAATATTGGCAATTATACAGGGTGTCCCAATTTCGACCTACATATCAAAGTTGTGATTTTTTAAATAGAATGCCTCAAATTTTATTGCATATTTGGAAAAACCAATTCAAAAGAGGAAGACTGATATAACATTCTATGGGTTTTGGTAATTAGCTAGTGAGATGTAAGGTGTTTTGTCCAGGAAAACCGTCCACCTTGGCAACTCCTCAGTCCGCCATTTTGAAATTTGGAGTGCTGAATCTTGTATTAACAAAAAACTTAACACACCTCAGCTTTTATCTTATTTGTTAACTTTCCGCATTTTAATTTTTGCTCATAAGTGGTGGTCAAAACGCAAATTGTAGTTTTTATCAAAAATTTCAAATGCATGTATATTTGTGCAAGTTTGGATTCAATTTTTTATAAGCTTTTTTTTGGTGTAAGGTTTGATTCAGATAAAGTCACTAGATTTTGAGTTATTAAGCTTTTAATAGAACAACACACCAACATTAAGGAAAGCAATCACATCGTATATGGAAACAAAAGACAAACAGTTCCATATTGCCACTTCGGCCCGTATCGTCAGTCGTCCCTACAATTGTAGTGCGCCTTTATGGCCTCCTTGATTGTCATAGTTTTCTACTTCTCCGTGTCAGAACTCTATTTTGAGGTTATGTCACAAACATCTATTTGCATCAAATTGTGCTTGCTTTTGATGTTTTATCAACTTGAAATTTCCTACAAATTAAAAAGAAAACATATCTTCACAATAGGAGTGCGCTGACGCTGACACGGGACAAGTGTAATCTAGAAATTTTTGAAGGAGAGAAAGGAGTATGACAATCAAGGAGGCCATAAACGCGCCCTACAATTGTAGGGACGACTGACGATACGAGCCTAAGAGTGCAAAACTAATAACAATCAGAACTCATTTATTTTGGATAAAGTCGAGCAATGTGAAGTATACACCACTGTTATGTCCTTAAAAAATCGAAAAAGTCCTGGGTTCGATGGTATTAAAAGCGAGCATTTGAAAATTATAGCCGAAGACATAACAGAACCACTCACTTACCTAATCAACAAATGCTTTGAATCTGGCATATATCACTCAATTTTTAAAAAAAAGGTAATATAATCCCGTACATAAATCAGGAACAAAAACAGATGTTAACAACTATAGACCAATATCAATAATATCCAGTGTAGCAAAGGTTTTTGAAAAAGTTTTATTTACTTGAATGATTCGATACCTCACGAAATTCAAAATTTTAAGTGAAAATCAATATGGATTTACAGAAGGGAAGGCTACATCGGACGCAATAACTAAAATTGTAAAT